AAAATACTGTCAACCTGAACTACAAGGGTTTACAGTGGAAAATACAATAAAATTAAATAAAATAATAATAATAAAAAACCTAAGGAAAAAGGGAGTCTTTTATTCTGAAGAACAACACATGATCAAGTGCAGATATATGATAGGCAGGTAGAGAAGGATAATATTTGAAATTTGGGATTAGTGTGAAAATTATTTCCAGTATAAATAAATACTTCTGAATCATTAACTGCACAGAAATCAGTATTATCTGAGGGACAGAAGAACTTATTTTACTATCTCTAGTGATCAGTCTTGATTTCACGAAGGTAATCTGGAGAAGGATGGGAATGCAAAGATAAAAGATAAAAATAGAAAAGTGCACGTGGAACTCAGAATTTGAAGGAAGTGGTAAAAGTAGTTCCTAGAATCAACGTCAACTTCCCTGCTCTGGGAAATGCAAACATAGAAGAAAGCAGTGAAATGTAGATATAGCCAATTATGCTAACAATTATTTCACGATTTAAAAAAATTAGGTTTCATGTTTTTCTTTTTTTTCCCTTTCATTTTGTTGTCTCTTTCCAATTAATCTGCTCTAGAGATCTATTTTCTTTCTTTATCTTATTGTAGAATACATCTGCAACAACTTCCATCTTTATTCAGAATCTTTCCTCTCTCCTGGAGTTACAGCTGGTTTTGCCAATCCATTCTCCCTGTTCTAGTCTCATTTTCTTATACTTTATATTAAGATCTTGACTGCAGAACTTGTTTAACTGCATCACCTACAAAATAAATTCTACAGAAATCATCTTCACAGATACTTTTATGAACTAACTTTCTCTTAACACTTAAGTCATAGCAGCAGTTCATACTGTATTAGAAACACATGGGATATTAGTAAGTCCAGTGAAGTCCCTGCCATGGAGCTAGGCATGGCAGCATTGCACTTACCATCATGTGCTTGGAGGAAAGTTTTACCTGCAGCTAAAGCTTTTGTTCTGAAACCAGGCAAGAAAAATTTGTTGCTGCTTAAAACAGAGTGAACTAAGATCCCCAGCAAATGAAATTTTGGGCAAGATACTAGTATGTCAAAGTTCAACACATTCTCTATGCCCTTGCATGCTTGAGTCTTAGATATAAGCCATTGGCATGGGGAATATATTTTTGGAATGTAGTGAAACTAGCCCCATAAACAATACACATTTTCCCCCCTTCTATTTAACAATCTCAAGACTTTTCAATGATTCAGAGAAAAGAAAAAAAAAAGACAAGGAAAAGAAAAAGAAAAGAAAAGAAAAGAAAAGAAAAGAAAAGAAAAGAAAAGAAAAGAAAAGAAAAGAAAAGAAAAGAAAGGAAAGGAAAGGAAAGGAAAGGAAAGGAAAGGAAAGGAAAGGAAAGGAAAGGAAAGGAAAGGAAAGGAAAGGAAAGGAAAGAAAAGAAAAGAAAAGAAAAGAAAAGAAAAGAAAAGAAAAGAAAAGAAAAGAAAAGAAAAGAAAAGAAAAGGGGTTGAGAAACCAAATGTGGGCCCTGGTTGTTCCCACTTTAAACACCCATGTGTATTCATTATATGTGTGGCTGCTGCAACTTCAGTAGCTAGGTCAGTTTCACTACTTTTAACATGGTGTAGAAGTTGACCTGGAAAATTCAGTTAAAGACAGGAAAAAGCAATGACTATCAACTTCCATCTCATCAAATATATTGAGAATTTTGTGAGAAAAAGAATGTGTACTCCTCAGTCTAACAGTATAATCCTGTCAAGCAAGCCTCATCATTGCTGACAGCATCAGAGGTGTGGGAACTTTCCAAAGAAAATATTCCCCAAAATATCTCATGGTGGGAAGTGTCAGTCAGCTGAAAGACAGGAGTTGCTGACTCCCCTTCTCTTGTTTCTCTCTTAATGGATCTCTGACTAGATGAAGTCATACCTATATGTCTTCATACACTACCATCAAACAAACACTTGCAGAACAACCTAGCACTACATTTCATAGCCTTCTGATCCAAGACAGGGTTTTAACCAACAAATAATATCCGTCTGGATAAATTTTTCTGGAAGAAAAAAAGTGTTACTGAAAAGTGTAAAACTTGAATTATACTAATATTCTAACAGCTAAAGCAGTTCTGCCACACACTGGTTTAAAGGCATAGTTCTTTCATGAGTTTGCCTCAAATCTGTGAAATGTATATAGACACTGAAAACATAATCCTGAGCTGTGGAGATTCAGTGAGTGTCTGTATGCTGGTATTCACTGCATAAGAGAAGAGCTGAACAATGAAGAAGACGAACTAGAGAGTTAAATTCCACAAATGCATCTATCACATTAGCTGGTGCTAATCAGGGAGTGAGAACTTCCTTCTTGCTCTCAACAAGTTGTTTATGACTATGTTTTTTACTTGTGTATGTACATTACACTTGCAGAGCTTTTTCAGGTTACTCCAAAAGTGTGTTCAGAAGAAAACATGCACATAAATACATAAATATGGTGTATTCCTATCCCTTTATAAAGCATTGGTGTGATGCTAATTTCTAATCCTAAAATCAAGAGAAATATAGTACTACAATTGCTCATGCTCATGGGTAAGATGCTAGGTCATCCTGGGACCAAGAAAAAGCATGAAATGAATCAGAAATAACTACATGAATTTGGGATAGAATAATTAAAAGATAAAGTGCATTAATATTATGTTATAAATTTTTTAGCATGAATTTATTAAAATGCATTTAGAAGTCAGAGCAGAATAAAAGCTAATTCACAACTGGTTGTAATGGGCTTGGAATCAGCTTTAGTATTAGAAGAAATTTCAAATACAGTAGGAAGGAAATGCAATACAATAAAGTAGTGACTCAGGGGGCTGATTGGGATAATGAAATGCATTTCAATGAATTCTGATGGATAAAGTATTATTATGAGGAGCTTATAAACAAGAAGGGAATAGACAAAATTTGCAGCAACAGTACTATATTGTCACAGTGACTTTTATTACTATAGAAATTATTTTGAATTGTGAAAGGTACTATACTTGGTGTTCTAATAATTAATCCAAAGTGCCTCTATTTCACTGAGCTTTGTTGTCCACCAGTGTCGAAAGTATAGACTCTGTGTCTACTCCTTGACAGAACTGCTAATGCTCTATTCATCTTGTCAGCTGTGAGTCTCCTCTGCATGCTAAGACCATAGAGCAGACATTCTGCACATCTATGAATATGAAATCCAGGGAGGCTGTGAAAGTTTGCTGTTTCGCCTGCTCTGTGGGGGCCTCCTGTGGCCTGAATTAGATGGCTCCTTCTCTTTACAGCAAGGTAAAAATAACTCTTAACTTTCAATTTGTGAAAACATCAGGACTAATGCCAAGATCAGAGAGCTGTGCTTTGCTCCTTGTGTGTTTGGAAACACTACAAGTAGTATTTTATGAACTTTTAATTAATATATTATTTCCTTTAAACAAATATATAATTTCTTGTTGACATGATCATAAATTTATAAAACCCACATTTGACTTGCCTCAAAATGGTAAATAAGACCACCAGAGTTTAAGCTTTTATAACTTTTTGATAGATTTCTTCTCCACTCAACTATGTAATCAAATATTATTAGAAACTGAGGAACATGGTGCAATTGCATAATTTCTTTATTTTCCCAACTCTGTGTTGATAATGTTACAAAATTCCCTTAAACTTAGATACTTTTAGATTTAAAGGAAAACTGTAAATCTTTGCAATTTTTTGAATAGTGTTTAAGAATTTCTGTGAATGGTGCTGAAGAAAAGAGGGTAGGTGAGAAGATTATATGTAATGTGTCCTTTAAATATAATTAAGACAGCAGTAAAGTCATTTTTCATGTAATAAAGGACAAGATTTCATCAATGGCTTGATTAACTGCAAACAGAATATCTTTTCTCATCTTCTTTTGTTCTCCTTAGATGGTGTGTTCTGGATGGGATTTTGCATGTCTCTTACAGGGTTATGCTTTCTTAGCACACAACATGTTTTGGGTATTACCACCATATAAGGACATGTTTCCATATTATTACTCCGGTTGCAGCATATCCAATTTAAGATGTATCTTTACCAATTTACCACTAACTGATAAGTATTTTTGGTTCTTCTCCAAGAGACTATCACACACACCACTTCTTTGTGGCAATTGCACAATTTATGTTATCTGGGAAATTATGTTTTTAAAAGAATATAGCCTCTTGTTATTTCTTGAGAAAGCTCCATGCAAAGATCTAATAGATGGTGCAGTCATGCCATCAAAGGGTACAACCAAAGACCAGTGATCTCTTGCAATAGACGAGGAATGAGCACCTCCAAGGTGAGGGGGAAACTCTTAAATAACATCTGCTGCTGAAAGTGAGCTCTCATTCATTAGTCCCAGTTTGCAGTTCATAAAAGTTTATCTTTCATAACTTATTAAATCTCTTGTCCCACAGCATGATTAGTAACACCTAATGACAGGTCATATTTTACCCGAGCAGCCTGTGAAACATGTTGAGTTCATGGCCTCTGTGAGATATTTTCATCATATGTCTCCTTATTCTTTCTCACATCTGTTGAGGGCATATAACAGAAAGGGAACATGAGCCCCGGAAAAGGGCACATGAGCTTCACGGCAGGAACCATTCCAGCTGCCAACAAAATAAATCATATTACGGGAGGTAAATGCGAAGCCAATGAAAGTACCACTTGGGATGCTACTATGACTAAAGAACTGTTTAATTCATTGTGTTTGCAGGCATTTCCACATCAGGCAATCACATCAAGGAAAAATCAAGCAGCATAAAACCAGATATGACAGACTACAAAATGTTATATGCTGTAGAAAAACTAGCCCTGAGTCCCTAAGTGACATTAGTCAATAACAGGCAGTGCCTTTCCCATGTAGAGTGAAGAAGAAGAGGGGGAAAAAAAGCCCCATCTTGTTCCTGCCCAAGAAATATTATTTGTATTGTGTGTGGATGTGTGAGAGCAAGGGTCATCCATTTCTCAGCTACAATCAGCCTTTGGAAAGTATCAGACTCACACAGCAGGTAGCAGGTTTCAGCAATCACCATGCATCATGTGGGACTGGCTGTCAGTGGAGTGCAGGAAAGCAGAAGAAACAAGCATACAGGAAGGTCAGGTTGCTGCCTTGCTGTCTTTAGTTTCTCCCTCCCTCCCTCCCTCCCTCCCCCAAAGCCTTCTCTCCTGCCTGTTCAAGCTCTACAAAGTGGATGTGCCAGAGCAAACCAGAGCAATTCAAATGCATTCAATAAACACAACTGGCCTGACAAATGGTGGATGTTGAACAATCTAATACTTCTCTAAGGCAAAGCTTCACAACCAACTGTGCTTTTGTTTTGTACATCTATGTGATGAATGTTCTAAGCAAGAAGCAGCCTGCTGTCTATTGGAAAACTGTGTCTCTAGTGCTCACAAAAGCAGAATTGTCTGAATTCAGTCTTTCATCTGTGATAAACAGGTCTGCCTTATGTACTGCACTCTGGGTTAACATTTCTCTATTCTAGCTTGAGAGGAGTGATAGTTATGATTGTAGGCTTTCACTAACTCAGATAAAGCAGTTAAGCAGATCTACTGATGAAGAAGTCAGAGGAAAAAGCTTCACTGACATTGCCTTGATTGACTCCTGGGTCTAACCACAGGCCAAAGGGATTTCAAGGGGGCTAATGTGGGGATCTCTCCTCTTACTGACAATGTCCCCATGGAGATTCATACCTACCTGCCTCATTCTTTTCCCTTTGGAACTCCATGATGCCCCTTTACCCCATACCTGATCCAGCACCTATTACAGAAAAGTTTTACCAGAGATGAAACCTTATCTTCCTTCCTCTCTACCTTTTTCCATTATTAGAGATACCCTCTAAATATCACCACCTCAGTCTAAAAGAATGAAATAGGGAGTAAAAAATACAGAGCATGAAAGGGCTAGGTGAAGAGGGCTACAGAAGCCTCATGAAGTAAAATTAAACGAAATTTCATTAAATTAAATAAAATGAGACTTCTTGAAATAAAATGAAATTAAATAAAATGAAATAAAATAAAATTTCTTAAAATTAAATTTAGACAATTAAATGAAAATTTGACATTTCATTTCATTAAATGAAAATTCTTTTTGTAAAATGAAATTAAATTTCATGAAATAAAGTGGCATAAAATCAGATTTCTTGAAATAAAATTTCATGAAATTTCATGAAATGGAATAAAACCATTTTTTTTGAAATAAAGTGAAATTCAACAAAAAATGAAACGCCAAATTTCCATTTCATTATTTCATGTAATAAAATGAAATGAATTTTCATTACATAGAATAAAATAAAGTGTGGAATTTTCATTTCATTTTGTTAAATTTAATTTCATTTCAAGAAATCTGATTCGATTTCATTTAATGAAAATTCATTTCATGAAATAAAATGAAATTGTAGGATAAATATATGCAGCAGTGTTGCAGACATGGTGGTGCTATTGGCACCTTTAATTTCAAGATTGTCACTGTCACTCTCAGAGTCGCAGTAATATCATAATAATGGTATATTGCATGTCATTAGTACAAACAGGGCAACAAAACAGTTTTGCAATACTAAGCTGAGTGACATCCACGTCCATAGAGTCACGCTCTGCACATGACCTGTTCCTTTTGAAGCTGTTGTGCTTTATGTAAGAGTCGCGCTTGATTATTTGTAAGAAAGCAGAGAGGTAGAGCCTTTCCCATAACACCACGTGTCGCTGGGAAGGAGCGCGGAGTTCCCAAGCGCCGGCAGTTCCTGGCGGTCTCACCCCGCGGACCCCGCCTGCCAACACCGCCCGCAGCGGCGGCTGCGGCCCCGCCGCGCCCCCACCAGAGGGCGCCGCAACACCGGCTCAGCCGCGCCGGCAGCGGCGCCCTCCCATCCCGGCGGATCCCTCCCATCCCGGCGGATCCCTCCCATCCCGGCGGATCCCTCCCATCCCGGCGGATCCCTCCCATCCCGGCGGATCCCTCCCATCCCGGCGGATCCCTCCCACCCCGGCGGATCCCTCCTATCCCCGGCGGCTTCCTCTAATCCTGGGCGGCTCCTTCCCACCCCCGGCGGCTCCTCCCGTATCCCCAGGCAGCTCCCTCGCCCCAAGCATCTCCATCCCCCGGCGGCTCCCTCTCCCGGCCGCCCGGGGCCGCGGATGCTCGCACCTGTCGGTTACGCGATTGCTGTGCGACACCGAACACGCTGGTGCAGCCCATCGGGATGGGTGTAGCGGCAGCCGTGAACACCTTGAGTAAAATTCCAGCGAGGACTAATATGAGGCTTCCCTGTTTTCTATACTTAAAAAAAAAAAAAAAAAAGTGTAAGAATGTGTTAAATGGGTGGCGAAAGTCATCCCGCACACAGCTGCATCCCTCTCGAGGTAAAAGGGCAGACATAGAACTGGGGTGTTAGCATCGGGAGTGTTTTTCCCGGAAGTTACGCATGTTAAACAAGGGGTGATGCACTTATAAAATGATGTGATAGAACACCATGTAATGTTAAATGTGTGTTTGTTTGTTTTATTTTAACCTTCTATAAACCTCCACAACTGATTACTTCCTGCAACGACACCCACAGTAACTAGATACACTCAACGAAGATCACTTCATATAATTCCATGTCAGAACTATTACCTGGAAAACTACAACACCAATGAAAAAAGGTCTCCATAGCAAGCACATGCCTCTCAAATCTTATTATTATTTCTCTTTTTTTTTTCCCCTCTTGTTTTTTTTAATTACATGGACTGTTCTTCTTTCCCAGCTGCTCGTCAAAGGAGCTGAGTAGAAGGGGTTTAAAACTGACATCTCAGCCAAAAGCTGGCACCTAACCAGCAGTCTGATTCAGCAAAATGTTAAAGCAAAATGCTTTCCAGAAACAAGAGGGGCTTAAGTAAATGTTTAAAGTTAAATATATCTGTATGGGCTTTGCTGCATTTGAGACCAGGGATGCACAGAAATGTCGGCCCTGGGCTTGCACCTCCATCTGAACAAGAGTGTTTTGGTCCTGAGCAGAGCATTACCAAATTCAGTACTTAACACACCAATGTGATAGGAACACTGAACATTGCTTGCATAAATGCACATCCTGTATGTTTCTTTATGGAGGTATGACAGTAATGCCACAAGTAAAAGAGAAGTTTTCTTCCCTGTATTCAAAATGTTAATGGGATGGTATTGAATGTGAGAAAGAACAAAACCAGGAGAACCTGAGATTCCTTACTTCATCTCAGAACGACAAGTAATATGCCTTTAATATGCTTTAGTGTTGATCCTTATGTGATTAAGTTGGTTATTATAGAAGCAGGATGAAAAACTGGCAGTTTTCTTAAATGAATTTTCTGTGAAAAATTTTTGTTAGATGCAGTTCTGACAGGTGTTCAGGATAATATCATTTTTCTGAAAACAGAAAAAGAATTCTCTGTTTTAAAATACATGCATCAGAATTAGGGGAGGACGACTAGATAATGAACCAGACATTCATTTGATGTGGGTCAACAGATAGATACATTCAGTGGACTTACACAGGCTAAAAATGGAGCTTCAGGAAAATAGACCAGTACTGTCAGTTGTACCACAGGCACCACCCCAGCTCATCATTCTTCCTGTAAAATTGAAATAATTAAATACTTTGTGTATGCTAGAGGGATTTGCTGGGGGAGAAAACATTTTTTTTTCTCTAGTAGCAAATGATACCCCTGAAAAACTGAGTAATTAATCAAACCTGTATAGCTGTGATACTGTATCATAATAAGATTGATTGATCATAAGGCATACTCTTATGGAGACAGGAAGAAGAAATTAATTACTGACCTGGGTATATTAGGAAGTTTTGGCATACTGTGTTTGGTGGTGTGTTGGGGAAGCTTTTGTCTCACATCGTCTAGTGAAAAATGAAAAAAATACCTCCACAGAAAAAAAAAATTGGATTATAGAGAGGATCAAGATCTAAAATAAGACTTTTTTTTTTGGCTTTAGAGAGGGATGTAGGATGTAGCAATTTGTTTAAGTAAGGTGTGACACTTTTTCAGACCTAGCTCTTTGTAACTGAGAAACATGAATCATCAGTATTTCCTAATCTTCCAATAATTAATGGCATTCTAGAAGGCAGGTCTTGGAGAAACATTTCCTAGAAAAATGTAGTGTTTTTTCCTAATTAAATATTTGGTGGGATGAGAAAAGAAATTTGAAAAATTACTATGAAGAATGAAAGTGAATAGCAACAAGGTGAAGAAAGATTTTAGCAGCATAATTGTCCTAAAATTAAGAGAGGTAAGATATAAAGAAAACCAAAGACAATTACTTAGTAAATACTGATTTGCTTCATGGTAAATCAAAAGAGAGTTGCCATGAAGAAAAGGAGCTTTTCTGGTAACAAACATCAAAAGCATACACAGGTTTAGCCATCAGCGTCAACAGTGTGAATTTGTACTGTGGGAACACATAGTAAAAATAACACTGGCATAAGGTATTTTCCTCCTGCCAGATCTGCTAAGCAAATAGGAACTTCATTTTGCACCAGCTGCAGCTTCCAAGTGGTCTACAAATGTGCCATATGGTCTGCAATACATAGATTGGTGCTCTAATACTATGGCTGCCCCCCACTGTACCTAAGTATGTAGGACATATGCTGCAACACATTACTTAATTGTGCATTATCTTGCATCTGTAGGCACTAACTTACAAATTTCTGATACTTTTTTTTTAAATTTAAAGAATGAAATTTTCTGAATTTTCTGTGGAAACACAATTTGGATTCCAGTTTAACATTGCAATGAATCAAATCTTAGTAGCAGACCTTGTGTTGTTTGTAATGAATTAGGCATGGGCATCCATAACAGGTTTCTTTGCTTTGGCTATTATGTTATACTGGGATCTGTTCTGGGATGGAGTGGAAATGTTTCACTGGAATTAATAGAGGTTTACCAGAGGACTACACATACACAAAATAAAAGGTCTGGATAAGAAAGAGAGAAACTATAGGACAGTGAAGAAGTTCAACATGTACCATAAGTTGGCAATATTAAGGTTAGGATGGTTTGTACATCAGGCTAATCTTTAATGGGATACATTTATAGTCATAT